TGGGGTTCAAGCCTTCTCTTCCTGCTGTCCCCAGAACTGCAGCCAGCTCATCCAGACCATCGAGGACACGGGCACTATCATGCGGGAGGTTCGAGACCTTGAGGAGCAGGTGAGGCCTGGGGGTGGGTGGGGAAACCAAGGCAGGCCAGGGGACAGCTCCTCAGTTTGTGCCAAGACAGGCTATGGAACCAGATGCAGCTTATGGCTGGAGTCTCTGCCCTGCCCCTTAGCCATGCATTTGACCTGGAACAGGCCAGTGGCCTACTTTGAGGTCTGACTTCCGCCCCAAGTGTTCTCATGCCTGCTTCCCAGGGTCACTGGCAGAGGCTTCAGCTTGAGTATGTGGTGGGTAATCCTGCCACATAGCAAACAGTGCTTTAGGTGCAGGGATGACACATGCAAAGGCCTGACAGTGGGACAGAGCAGGCTGTTTTTGGGGGTGGGGTGGGAGGAGCCCAGGAAGGGCCCTGAGTAGCTATGACGGAGGGGTGGCAGGCAGGAGCTGGGAAAGAGGCCCTGCTTACTGAAGGGATGCGATTCATGTTGTCTAGATCGAGACAGAGATGGGCAAGAAGACGCTCAGCAACCTGGAGAAGATCCAAGAGGACTACCGGGCCCTTCGCCAGGAGAATGCTGGCCTCCTGGGGCGGGTCCGTGAGACCTGAGGGGCCGCTGGCATAGGTCTCCCTCACCCCAGGCTTCAGCAGGGATTGGGGTATTGGAGGTGATGGCCAAATGCTTGCCCTAGCTGTTCTCCGTGTTTGCTGTCCAGCCCCTCCTGCTGTGGCGACTTCTGCCCACCTGACCCCAACCCTTATCTGGGGTGAACATTCAGACACTGGGAGCTTGGCTGCAGTTTATTGGGGATAGTACTGGGGGTTGGGGCCTTGGATCCCAAATAAATGAGGGGCTCTGTCAGCAGTCTAAGCTGAGGCATGGATGGGGGCACAAGGCTCAGGGCGGGGCAGAGGGTGGATGGCAGGTGAGACACAGGGTACATTTTGGTGAGTCAATATATATGGCTGTGTGTGTCTGTGTGGGACCCAGGAGATCCACTGGGGCACTGTGTGGGTGTGTGTGGTGTACAGGTGAATTCTAATAGGCTGTATGACCAAGTGTATGTGTGAGGAGCTGCGTGAGACAGTATGTGACTGGTGTGTCTGTGTGGCTTTCTAGGACCTGAGACCCTGAAGGCTCTAAAGCTGCTGCTGGGTGGGAGTATAGGCACTCCCCTGTAACACTGCACCTAGGGGCCCCGAGGCTGACTGTGGGTGTGTGCGTGCTTCGGGGTATGTGGGTTGACAGGACTACTTGGGTGTGATTATCTGTGTGACTGTGCAGATTTGTGGTTGTCTGAGTGTACTGAGACAAGCTCTTTGTATTTAGGGGTTTGTATGGAGTCCAAGGGACAGAATTGTGACCATCTGTGTTTCTTCCAGCCCAAGGTTGTCTGTGAGTGACTGAGGCAGGCTGTGTGTGTGGTTGATTGTGAAGGCTCAGTTTGCCTGGAGAGCCTGTTGTGGGGGGCTGGGGTAGGGTTACAGGGCTGGGGCCCCTCTAAGCAGCCTTGGTGCAGAGCATATAATCCAGGGGGTAGTCAGCTTGGTAGTAGGGTCCCTGACAGACAAGACAGTGCACATACTTCTTGGTCCCTGCAGACATGTCCAGGGCCTATGACCCCTGTCCTGGCCACTTCTGCCCTGCATTTTGGCCCCTGTCCTTCCTTCTTTCCTTGGTTTTGGGTCAGGGGCCAGGTAGGGGGTTGGAACACCTGCTAGGCCTCTGGCTTCTCTTCTTGCGGAACTCAAACTCATCCACGGTCCACACAGCCCCTTTTTCACTCTCCACCCGCACGAAGCACTTGTGCAAGCTCAGGTTGTGGCGGATGGCATTCTGTGGAAGGAGGACCAGCCAGTCAGGTGGGTGGTGGAGGGAGTGGGTGGGCAGTCATTCTCTGAGGTCAGCAGTCTCCACCAAAAACCAACCTCCTGCCCCTTCCCATCATGTTTGCAAGCCCAGCCTCAGGCCTTCCCAGCTTGGCCCAGCACTGGGGTGGCATTTGAGGCCATCTCAGCCCTGCCACCTCCAGAGGTGCTCACCTTCCAGGTGGCAGGGTGGTTTCTGAAGAAGGCAAACATGTGCGTAAACCAGTGATAGATCTCGTTGAGTGTCCGCTGCTTCTCAGGAGCCTCCAGGATGGCCTGGAAGTTAGGGGGTGTTGGGGTAAGGGGAGATGCTCCCCCAAAGTTGGGCTGAGAGGGGCAGTGACCCACCTGACAGTGGACCATCTGACATGGGGTGGAATTGTAGGGGCAGGGGAAAGGATGGATTGTGGTGATGGATCAGAGACAGGGCTAGATGTGGGGTGAGACTGGGCCAGGATGGGGTTAGATAAAGGATCAGGGCTGAGGTTGGAGGAGGGTCTGGCTCAGGGTTAGGGCTGGAGTTAGGTTAAAGGTCTGGGGTGGAGTTGGAGTGCGAGTTCTTTGTAGGGGGTGAGGTTTCAAAGTTTGGGAAGAGTAAGGGCCAGGAGTGGGGTCAAGTGAAGGATTTGGAAGGGGTAAAGGGCCAGGCAGAGCTAAAGGTCAGGGACAGGGTTGGTTAGATTCAGGCTAGGGATGGACTAGGACTATTCAAGGGGCGTGTGATAGGGTGACGTGTGGCATTAGGTCAGGAGTCAGAGATGGGCCTAGTTATTTAGTTATTTTATGGGTCAGGGATGTGGTTAGGTTCAGGGTCAAGAATGAAGTTGATTGTGGTGAAGTTGAGGTTTGTGTATAGTTAAGGGGCAGGGCCGGGGGTTGGTGTGCAGTGAGGCTAAGGGTCAGGGATTTGATCTGTATGGATTTAGGAATGGGACTAAGTTAAGGGGCAGTGATTACAGCTGCAATGAGGTTCGGGGTCAGGGTGTGGCATCATGTAGGGTTAGGCTAGGTTCAGGTTTGGTGTTAGGTGTGGGCACCTGGGATGAAGGTCCAGGTGGGCTGTGGTGAAGGTTCTGGGAAGGTATTAGGGATATTCAGCTGAAGGGGCTCAGATGGGGTGAGGTTAAAGGTCAGATAGGTGTTACAAGGGGGGGTGGGGTCTATG